CGGCGGGAAATTCTACCTTGCACCAGGATTCTCTTTTGCAGCAGAAAACTCCACCGTGCAAGGAAGCTTGCAATTTAGCGGGGACAATTTAGCAGTGCCGAAGCGCACACAAATAAAAATCACACCTTTTGGGTTGTGACATGCCGCAGATCATTTTGATCACTTACACCATAGTATAAGTAATACAGGGGGTGTCAAAGAAACCATGCTATCTTCCCTGAGGGTTTGGAAAATTGGGGTTGAGTTGAGCAGCAGCAGTGCTAATTGCTACGGTTCTTGGAGCAGTCATAGCCACAGTTCAGCCAGTCACCAAATTTCTGGCCCTGTGGGCAACCCCACAAACCATCTCTCTGCTACCTGATAGCTTGTGGGGCCGGATGTTTGACACATGTGTAGGTAGCATGTTGCCCTTCGCTATCACAGCTACTTATGTTTGAATAATACTCAGTTCTCCAGATTCATCTTACCTGCTGTATATCATTCGGTGAAATATTCTTTTCTTTTTTTTAAGATGTCATTATTGTATGGAAACTACTTCATGGATTTAGATGCATCTTATAACTGGGTTAATCTATGGGCTTAGCCCATAGCTGTGATTCTCAACCAGGGTGCCTTGAGTTCCTTTCAAGGGTATTGTGGGATGCTACACAATGTTAATACTGCTAAAATGTGCAAACATGATTCACATAAATCCAGGGATTTCAAATAGGAACCCATAGTGTTAAAAACATTTTCTGACCTTTTTGTTTCGAGTTCTTTGTAGCAGAAGAATTGTTCTATTACGTTTCTGTAGTAAAAAAAAAAAAAAAAAAAAAGTGAAAACTAAGAGCTGGCATTTTTCACAGGCTAACTCGGTTCTATCCAGGAGTGCTTTTGAAACTGCTGCTCTGAATAGACTCACACGAAGTTTGCTAGGCTCCGTGGAACTTGTGCACGCAGGGAAAAGGGATACGTTGAGGATTGCGAACGGCGACGGGGAGAGGCTAGAGGCTGATCAGACCCCTGTTGCCTGCTTGAAATGCACTGGGTCCGATAGGCTCTGCAGCACTTAGCGATCTTCACACAGCGTGAAGTCTCCTCCTCCTGGTGTTTGTGGAGTCCTCCAACTTGGGCAGAAACCACTCAAGCTTTTTATATGGCTAGCAAGCCAATCACTAGCCGCCACGTGTGAATAATTTCACGCAAGCCAATAATGGGGCTCGAATTATAATACAAATGGTGGGAACTCTTTGCAAAGTGCATTTCTGTGCTGCAAAGAAGAAATGCACACTGCAAAGAAAGCTACAAATTGGCGGGAAAATAATTCAGTGGTGCCAAAGCGCACACACAACAAAAATCACACTCTTGGGTTGTGACAAGAGAGAGAAAACGAAGAGCTGGCATTTTCCAAGGGGTGCCTCGAGTCTAAAAAGGTTGAGAACCACTAGTATATAGAGTGAAACTGTACCTTGCATTGTGCCTAACTTCAGATTGGCATGCCTGACTACCTCTCTCTGCTCACGGATTGAGTGAATGGGGATGTGAAAGAGGTGGAAGTTCCTGTTTGAACAAAAATGTTGTAGCAGAACCTAGAGGAAATAGGCTAGATTTCCTGAGTTAAAGATCCTTTTCAAGCTGATTGGAAAATATTCCCTTCCTGTGAACAGAGGAATTCATTAACATTAGTAGGATTGGAAGAATTTGATTTTTTTTTTTTTTTAATCATTTCAACAAATAATATCAATATTTATTTTTAAGCGTGTATTTCTGTTTTTAACGATTTAATTTTTCAGGATTGCATGAAACTAGGGGCAGATGATTTATTAATAGTATATTATTATAGTGCAGTTTAACCACCTGTCATGACAAACAGCTACTGTATGATTTCCACCAGCTGAGTGGCATCAGTCCTGGCTCCGCTCCCCTGTAGCTCCCTCCCCTCTGCTTTGCTGCTTCCTCTTCTTTTGTTCCCAGTCCCCCTGGGGTTTCTGGGAGTTGTAGTCCAAACTAGTCAGCAAAGTTCTGTAGGACTGCTTCCCCTATCATCATACACTTCATCAGCCATCATTTTTCTTAAGTCTCTTTGCTCTAAACTTTGATTATTAACAATGGAAATATTTTTTGTCAGTCTGTGAGTGAGGTAAAATTAGTGTGTATCAACATTTACAGAGAAAAATCGAATCCTGCCAAGCCTAGTCATTAGTGAATTTATTTGTGAAATTGTGCTGTAGATATAGCAAAGGTTCAACTTCAAAAGTAATATTGTTTAGAGATTTGATACTTTTCAAATGTGTATATTTGTATCTTTGTTTACACACTTTCTGTACAGTCTTACTGATGTTGTTAGTTCTCTTCTTTCTTTGATAAGTAAAATCATTTTCCTTTGCATTATTTCAGATGTGCCATTTGGCGGAGCAAAAGCTGGTGTTAAGATCAATCCTAAAAACTATACAGTAGGTCTAAATTATATATGTACACTTGGTTTACTGGAATGGTTAGGCTAACCAGTTCATAGTTCTCTGGAGCAGCACTGATAGCTTAGAAATCCATTTCTCACTCTGAAGAGATTAAATTAAGCTTATTTGCATGCATGTGATGGCCAAGTTTGGATCAAAAACAATTTTGTATTTAAGGTCTGTATAATGTATATATAAAAAGTCAAATACATGGATTATTTAGATTGCTCAATCTTTTCCTGAAATGTGAAGTCATTGCTACTAATTTGGAGCCTAAAATTTTTCCAGGTGATGCTGTTTAGGAAGGGTTAAGTATCACCTTTGAGAATATGTTTTCACTTAAGAGAAGGAGTTTGATAATTTTTATTGGTTTCAAAATAGTTTTCAATTGTTTTCAAGTCTGAGGGTTGGACTTGGCTAGAAGGTTTGCTCTTAAGGATAATAGGCAGGGAAGTGGAAGTGAGTGAAGTTCGGTAGTTTTCAGTTTTTGGGGTGTCATTTGGGGAATCTGCTGCTTTGTTTTGTTCTGCTGGTTTATTGTAAACTGTTCTGAGCCCCCCTGGACATGTTATGATATGAATCTAAATAATAGTATTTCTTTAGTATGGCTTTATTAGCAAACTTTTTAAAATCAAAGCCAATTATAGCCAAGCTTCCAAAAATGAGAGCAAATGTTATGTATAATTTGATATAATTTCATGTATTGTATATACTAAATTTCAATGTAAACTTAAGGAATTGCATGAATTAATTGTAATCTTGTGTTAATTATGCTGTAATCAGGAGAGATATTGCTGTTGACTCACAATTCTTATACATGACTATTTTTATAGGACTATTCTACTTTAAACATTGAAATTAAGTTTGGTCAAACACTGTCCTGATTCACGTATACTTCCTTTTGAGTTGAAATATGTGAAGAAAGAAAATTGGGTACTACCTCAAACCAATTTAGATACAGCACTGAAATTGCAAAAAAGGACAATTAATAAGCAGATGGCATAAAAACTATAAATCAATGAAACAGACTTTTTCTTGTAGAAACAATATATTGCACTTAATATTAAATTTATGGCTGACTTTGGTGAACTCTAATAACCTGTGATGTTTGTTTCATTTTATTTATAGGACAATGAGTTGGAAAAAATCACAAGAAGATTTACCATGGAGTTAGCAAAGAAGGGATTTATTGGTATGTAATGCAGTTTTTTCTAGTAAAAACTTTTGAATTAACTGAGCAGCCTTTTTTGCCCAACTGCATTTGGCTCTGTCCTTTTCTTCTTGGAACTCTCTTCTGTTTGCCTGGTGCTTGCCAACTCACCAGTTGTTATAGGCAGCTCTATAACCCTTATCTAAGCTCTCTTCTAGCTGCTTACTGTAACGCATCTGGCCCTAGCTGTGTACATCAAATTGCAGCCTTCTTATGCTGACTTCTTATTGACTAAGTAGCAGGGATTAAGGGACTCTGCTCCACTATGTCCATAAGATATAAGTACTTAGGGACATCACAGGGACCACACTGATAGTTTCAAAAGAAGCAGAGGTGCCTATTAATGGGTGTTCCATTTTATTCATATTCTTTGAATATCTGAGCTATTCTCATATCACTCTTTGGAGTTCTTACTTGAGGAGACCTGATACTGTTCTGGAATACTTGGCCATTTTAAATAAAAGTTTATTAGGGTTCTTTTGCATGACCAAACCTTTTGATTTCCTAAGAACCAAGGTGAAGAATAAGGCATTTAATAAAGATCTTTTCTATTTAAGAGGTCAGGAATGTAATCCCTATAAATGTCCCTTTATACATTTATCTTCCATTTTTCACTCTGTATAGGGACAGCTGTCTCTGTTCACTGATTTGAGTCAAGCTTGTATACAGATAATTTTTGACATTCTGAATGGTTTGTTGTGCTTTTTTGTACCTGATTCATTAACAGTTTAAATGCTTCTATTACTGATTTATTGTAGGAGAAGCTGTGTTTCACAAACTTATTTGACATAATTATGGAGCAATTGGAAATTGGGCTGGGTGGTTGTGTCTTGCCAAACTTTTTTTTTAATTTAAATTTCTTAGCTTTAAGAAAACAGCTACTTAGGTAGAGTACATATAATTTACCTGTTACAGTTGATTTATGGAGGTGCATTTAGGAATATCTTTCATGAGATGTGTTATTTTGTACCTGTCATTCTTAAGTAGGTGCTCTATACTCTGTATAAGTAAGTAGGTGATGTCATACTCTGGTATGATGAACAAGGAACAAATGGAGGGAAAAGTTATTTAGTTAAACTAGATAACAGTATTTAGAATAGCCAATCTCAAATATTTTTCAAGCAAGAAAATGTACATTTTCAAGATTGAAGTAAAGAGAAATGAAATTACATAGACAAGTTCCTAAAGGTAGAACAAGCGAATGTACTACTAGTATAAATCAGTCACATGGACAGTGATATACATGCAAATGTTGAAACAAAAATACAAATACATGTTTGAGACACTGTTTTATCTCTCTGTTTTAACTGAGTGACTATTTTAGTTATTTGAGTAGTTAAAGAGATTTTGGCAGTTTTCTGAAATAGGTGCATGAGATGTTGTGTGAAATAGAATATTGAGCCAAAAGTGTACATAGCTGCTTTAAATGGGATTTTAGGAAAGTAGATCTTCCTGGCTATGGGGATGAGATGTAGAAGATTTGAAGATAATTTGTCCTCAACTCTTGAGAGATGTTTTTACTGTTGCCAACAGGACCTGGTATTGATGTACCTGCTCCAGATATGAGCACAGGGGAGAGGGAGATGTCCTGGATTGCAGATACCTATGCCAATACTATAGGACACTATGTAAGTTTTGAGCAGATTCATAGGTGTGAAAAAGCTTCTTTATTATTTGCTTAAATCCAGCCAACATTGTGCTAGAGATTTGTCACCGTTGCCTAATCTTCCAAGTTTATTTAATTAGATTAATTTTAATCTATGATTTAATCTGATTCATTTAAATCTATGAATGTAAACTGTAGCACTGTAATTGATTTGAGGTTTTTTTAGGTCATGGTTTGAAAAAAAAAATAGCTTAATGACCTTCTTTAAGCATCAGATGTTCAAAGTGGTCTACTCTAATATGACCAATTTCAAAGGAAAATGGCAGCTATAGCCATTATTGACACTTTATATATTGTGCATCATAAAGCAAGTAGCGTGATTCTATTTAAACTGCCTTAAGCTGTTGGGAACCGGTGTTCTTTTTTGAAAATGTGAATTTTCACGAAGGCATTTAAAAACAAAGACCTGCAAAACAAAGTTTTAAGTGAAATCTGTAATTAAATCTTTAGTAAGCCTTTGAATATACTTGTAAAAATGCAGAATAGCAACACTGCAAGCAATAAGAAAGCATGATAAAGTGACTAATTCAGAAGATTTTAAATAGGAACTTTGCTTTTTACCTAGTTTGAGTTAGCCTTTAGGCTTAATAATTTTCTTACAGCAGACACTATTAAACATTCCAATTTTTATAATACTCTGTCTCTTCAAAGACCATATATTTTATATAAGGCAGTTTTATAAATAATTATAAATAATTAAATCACTGTGTCCTTCACATTTGAACATGATATTAAAATAATTTCTCTAAAATTGAGTTGTCAATTGAGACTTATGAATGGTTAATCATTAGAGGTGCACCGATACATCGGTCCAATATCAGATTCGTACTGATATAAAGAAAACTGGCTGTATTGGATATTGGCCCAATAGGGCTGATAATTTGGCCAATAAATGCCTGTGCTGCATGCAGCCGCGGTGCAGCACTCAGGCAGTGAGGAGCAGAGCCAGCAGTGTGGAGAGTTCCCTGCAGCTGGTAAATCTGGTGTAGGGGGAGGGGAAAGGGTGTTGGAGGGCTGGTCAATGCCCCCTGTGGTGAGGGAGGGAGCAGGCGCAGGTGGAAGGGGGGCCAGAGCTGTCTTATGGCGGGGGGAGGTGGCTCTCGCCACTGCTTGTACCCTGGGAGAGTATGGGGGGGCATGTGCTCCCCAGATCTGCACAGGGCAGGGTGGGCTGCAGCCAGGGCTGCGCTGTGCTCTTCTCAGTGGGTGCCAGTGGCACTGGGAGGATGCAGAGTATACAAAATTTCCCCTTTGGTTTCTGCAGTAACTTCCAATAGCTCTTTAGGGACACAATCTGTCATTTTTTACAGAAGTTACGAAAGCAAGTATAGGAGCAGCCTTCTGCACTTGTACTGCATTCAGCTTGACTTTAATAACATCTTTATAATCTTCAATAAAAAAAGGGCTGGTTTCAACCACTAGTTCAGGCTGATAACTGGTAAAAACACTGATAGAAAAAAATAAAATGTCTAGAGTATGGCTGGGAGCCTGTAGCCTGTAGGCTATTTCTGGCCTTTGAGGCTGGGACATTAATGGCAATGTGGTGGAGAGGAAGCTACGGCAGTGGCTGCTGGATCAGAACTAGTGGCCCACCTTCAGACATAATTCTGTTAATTTGGTACACTGCTCCTAGACAGTTGTTGACCCCTGGCTTTCTTGGCTTTTTCCCATTCCATAGATACAACTTGTACCAGTCCCTGCAGAGGTGTTGCATGCACACTTTTGTAAAAATGAATGTACAGTTGAGAGCAGAAATCAATAACTTCAAAATGTAATTCTAAGTCAGCACAGTGGTACCTTCTTCCCCTAGAGCTATGTAATATGGCAGCATATTTTCTTTTTTTTTTAAATTAGACCTGCAGAGCTAAAGTAGCTTTGTTTGGATTTGATTAATCTTTTTGGATGAGAGGTTGGGTAGAATTGAATCATCTAAATCAAAATAAATGCAGCTGTCTGAGGGAAGGACTACTGAGACTAGATTTGAGAGGGAAGAGAAAACCAACAAAAAGATGATTGAAGAGCCACTGGACCCATGCAGAATGAACTCCTGGAAAAGCAGGAGAAAAACTAGATCAGGACTATTGAAGTCAAAACTTTAATTAACTTTCATAGACAGTAAAAAGATTGAAAACAGTGTATGACCCATTCCAGACTTTTGGGTGCATGAGTAAAGCTGCAACTTGGACAGGATCCCTGAAGGAACTAAAATAATTAAGATTGTGGTGCCCCCAAGTATATTCAGAGAGCTTAAACTGAAATGGAGGGGGAGAGTTTAAACAACAGTTAGAAGGGCAATGGGATTTCCCCATTGAAGTGTTTAGGATAAAAGAAAGTAAAATCTGCAGGAAGGAGCTACAAGGACAGGAGGAGCAGAGGAATAAGAATTGCATGGTAGAGTAGAGAGTAGGGTTAAGGAGTAAGCCAGAAAACTAAATAAAGTTGTTTTGAATATGTGCCACGTCCAGCAAATTCAAAGATTACAAATACTAAGATAGGAATCTTAGAAAATTAACGGTGATTTATGGGTTAGTGTTAGAATGCTAAATATTTTTCTTTCTCTGAGGTTTCTAATAAAATATTTTTTGCTTAAGCACAAGCATCATTCTGTGTCAGGAATCTCTAAAAATGTTGAAGCCAAGATTTAAATTAAATTGTTATTTGAATGTGTGGCTTTAAGAATAGTAGTGTCTCTCCATTGCTCCTCCCTTTCCTACCAGACCAATCAATTCTTTAATAGCTACCATATCCAACTTTTCCAGAAAATCTTCCTTAACTTTCTGGATTGCTTAATTAAGTGCTAACACTGAACTTATTGACTGATAAATTTGGAGAAAAGATCTGATGCATCTCTTTTGCCCCCCTCTCCCCATCCTCAAACCCCAGTCTAAAATCTTGTCTCCTTTAACTAGCATTTCTCGTGACAGGAAGCTGTGTTCACAAACACAGTATTTATAAACAGGTCTTTCCTTTTGTTTGGGTACATAGTGACTAGTTCAGGGTTTTTAAAATGTGACTGAATGAAAACTTTGTAATATCTCAGATGGATTGTCCAAGATTGTTGTAGTGCTTCTTGTAAGTGACAAGTGATTTGCAGCTGGGAAACCACAAGAGGGAGCAGACTGCTTTCTATAAGAAATGTAGATAATTTTGGACTGGAAATTCTAATTGGCAAGATAACACTACTGGAAAGGAGAGGCTGTCTTCTCTTCGTCAGGTTTTAAATGGGAAGTTTTACTTTGGTTATATAGTATATGTTAGGTAACTGGGTAGAAATATATGTATTTTAGTAGACATGATTGTGTTTGAAAAAACAAAACCCAGATTTGATGCAGTTGAACTCTTCTAGATGAAAATAGCAGCCTCTTATCTACCTTTTCTCCATATGACTGCACTAAAGGGTCAAACCACTGTTCAGCAAACACGAAAGTGTGGTTTGTGCCATATGCTGTCAATATTTTGACTTGAGTCTATTGCCTGTGATGGCATCACCTCAATCAAGAGTGTAAAGTTTCAAAGTTGTTCATAGGGTCTGCTTTTAAAAATACTATATTATTGTTTCCTGTTGTATGATAGTTTAAAGGTGATTAAATAGTTTAAGATATAAAGATATGTCTAATATTTTTAAGGGATTAAATTGTCAATATCCGCAGTGACTATCACAATATTATTATTCACTTGAAAGCTCACCCACCCATTGCTTTCTTGTCACCAAGCAATGTGTTAATAGGGCCCTTCATGCTTCCTATCTTCATGTGAGCTAAACATATCATAAAATAAAATCAGAATCAATTGGTGTAACTAGATTTGCTAGTTACAACAGTTTATAAAGTTATTCTTTATTTCAAATACTGTCCTTATGGTACTAACCTGCCATACACCACTGTGTAGTATTTTTGTTGGAAGCTGAAGAAGGGCCATGACAGTTCCACATCTCTATTACAGCTCTCAGGAAAAGCTTTGAATGTTAAATGTATCAGGGGAAAAAATACTTCTGAAACTTGCATAACACATTTTACTTCAGCTGTTCATGACTGATCCCAGTCTGAGAGAAATGCATACAGTTCATAGAATTCTTCACTGTCTTGCAGGATATTAATGCTCATGCTTGTGTCACTGGTAAACCCATCAGCCAAGGTGGTATCCATGGGCGCATCTCTGCCACTGGCCGTGGTCTCTTTCATGGAATTGAAAATTTTATCAATGAAGCATCATACATGAGCATTTTGGGAATGACTCCAGGGTTTGGGGATAAGACATTTGCTGTTCAGGTAACTTATCGAGATATATAGTAACTTTGACAAAAGTTGAGAATGTCATTGCTTTTAAAATTGCTAGAGTAGTGGACCTGTTAAGGTTTTATAACGTCAAGGATTAACTTTAGCACTCATTGAACTTCAGGGTGCTACTCAGACAAGCAGGCATCCTTTAGTCTGAGCTGTTCTAAATAAACTGGTCTTTTCAATTGCACACTTAAAAACACCATCCTTTTCTAATTCTTTTCTAAACATAGTGTTGTATTCCGGTTTTGCAGGCACTATATTTGAGTGCCAAGACATTTTTAAATTAAGATATTGCATGTATTCCACAATTCTGCCTAAATCCCACTCTGTGTTATCATTCTTATGCATGCCTGAAACACTTGCAAGAGGGAGGGATGGGCCAGGAAGTTGAGTAGATAATCTGATCTGATTTTATGGAATTCAGAAAGAAAGGGCCAAATGGTGACCTATATTTTCAGTTATGATGTGAAGTTTTTGGCTTTCATAATATTTTAGGAGGCCTGAAATTCCAATTTACATTTTAAATTGTTAGGAGAAGCCTGATTATTGCCAATAAGTGGATTACACTGAGAAGTATTTTCTAATACCCCTTCACATGCATAATGTTCTTTTCAAGTTTGTTTTTTTTTCAATTTCTTCTGTTCCAATCACAGGATTGGATGAATATGCAATTAGTGAGCTATTAAGATACAGAATCTGGAAACTAGGCCTGCCTGCTTCATTTGGAACTGTTTTCCAATGTGTTTATTATAAGAAATGGTAAAAGGGTGATTACTACATTTTGCAGCAAGTCCACAGCACTACCTAATTATGACCTTACTGAGCTTTGCTAGTTAACCAGTGATTTGAGGCAAACATCCTGTAGCCTGCTTAGAAAAACAATAGAACACTATCATCCCTGCCCTTTGGAATGTTGGCTCAGTCCTAAACATAGAGCTTCAAATTGAACAAGTAAACTGAAAACTTGGCAGATAGCTGGAGACTAATGGCGAAAGAATGAGGGCAGAGCACTTGAAGACAAACTCATTACATAAAAAGCTTCATTTTTTTGTATCAAAGCTTGATTCTGAGGAAAAGGGGAACTACTACCCAAAAGCAAGAGCTTCAGCTTTATCTTATTCTAAGCTCTGTCATGGTCTTTTGTGACCTTTGGCCAGCTACTTAAGCATGTCACTTTTAACAAAACAAAAAACAAAACAAACAAACAAAAAAAATATATATAGGCATGACATGCAAGTCAGTTCAGTCACCAGTCTTTTAAGTAGGACTTGAATAGTAATATGTAGGGCCTCAGGGTATTCTGGTTAAAAGTGTACAGAATTCCCTCTGCCCCTACTGATACCATATGTCTTCATGCCAGCATATGACATAGAAAGGTGAAAAGCAGAAACAAGGCAAAAAGTTAAGTTATTTAAATATTTTCATTGTCCTTTCCCATGTCTATTCTTCCAGGGATTTGGTAACGTGGGATTACATTCTATGAGGTATTTGCATCGTTTTGGAGCTAAATGTGTTGCTGTTGGAGAGCATGAGGGAGCTATCTGGAATCCTGATGGCCTAGACCCAAAGGAACTAGAAGATTTCAAATTGGTAAGACTTGAGAGAGAGTAGGTATGGTTTAAATGTTCCTTTGCCAAATCAGGAGATGATTGGAGGCTGATGGTGATACGAAATATTTACAGGTTATGCTGTCAGCAGTAATATTTTAAAGTTACCTATCAAACGAGGATCAGGAACGGTGATTGTTTTAGATTTTTATTTGTTACTAGTGTGAAGGTAATCAAGCATTTGTTTTATCATTAATGTGAGGGAATTGTGTTGTGTTTTTCACATTAGAGTAGTGTTTCAGAGACCCACTTCAGGGTGCATGCTTCTCAAAGCTGAAACGTTTTATCGTGATACAGTGGCAGAAGTCAGGATTTTATATTAGGCAATAAACAGTGAGGGTGAAAATAACCCCTTTTTTTCCTTTCCTCCTCAAATAGCAACATGGAACAATCATTGGCTTCCCGAAAGCACAACCACTTGAAGGCAGCATCTTGGAAGCAGACTGTGACATTCTCATCCCTGCTGCCAGTGAGAAACAGTTGACTAAAGCCAATGCTCACAAGGTCAAAGCAAAAGTAAGATGATCAATTAAATCTGGAATTTAAATATGTAACTTATAAATGGGGCTCCTGGTTTTCTCTGATAAAAATTTCAAATTCTCTGATAAAAATCCAAAATTTGTCATTAAAATGAAACGCAACTATATATATACACTAGTGAATTGCCTGTCAAGAATGACAGTGGCGGGGGGTTGGGCACAGGCAGGGATGGAGTGCAGCCACCCACCACCCTGTGCTGCTGCCTCCCAAGAGCAGTGTGGGGGGAAGCCTGCATGCGGTCGCGGCCGCATCTGCGGCCGCTTCACATGCAGGTGCGTGCCATGCACACCCTCCTCTGCTCCCCCCGGCTCTGTCTGCCTGGCCCCGCCTGTCATTCTTGATGCAGCACTAGCTGGAGCCATGCCCTGCTGGGAGCCACACCCCCCAAGAGCATTAGGGCCAGAAGGACTAAGCTCTCTCGCTCTCTCTATTAGTGTGTGTATGTATGTATCAATTGAACACAATATTTTATTGATATATTTATAACTTTAAAGCAGTTTGGAAGGCTACCAGTTCCTCAATCACCATAATAAAATACATTCTAAATAACTATACATTTTGGTATTTGATTTTGGGTTTTTTATCATGCAAAATCAGAGCTCCCCTTGCCCCCTTAGCTCAGAGAATGCAGGTCTAGACCCCTCACTCCCAAGTCACAGACCCCCCTGGCCCTGCTGGTGCCCTTGACTCCCCCGCCCCCACTTACCCCAGCCCTGCCAGAGGGGTGCCCCAGCTACTAGGGCTATGGCTCCAGGGACCTGGGTCTGCAGCCCCCTGCAGCAGCGCCTAAGCCCTGACTGCCGCTCGCAGGAAGTGGCAACCATTGCAGCATAGCAGAGTGCACAGCCCAGCTTCTCTCCCCACCCCTCCCCCTCAGGCAGCACCCACCCTTTGACAGGCTAGAGCAGAGCCTGTCGTTGTGGGGGGGGGTGGGGGGGTGGATGTTGGCTGCCCTCCCCCTGGGCAGGGGACTTAGTTTCCCCCGGCCAAGGCAGCATAAGGCTCACAGTGGCAAGGAGTTTCCGCGCAAGGTCTCACTCTGCCCTGCTGCACCCGATCCCACATGCTGGGCTGCGAAGACTCTTGGGGAGGGCAGCAGGACAGGGAGCCTGCACCCAAAGCGGGCAGCTTGCACCTGCCTCTGCCCCTGCCCCGCACATACAGCTTGGGGGGGGGGCAGGTTTCCCCCCCACTCCTGGGACTGCATGCTGTGATGGACAGCCTGCCCCCCACCCCCTGGCCAGACATACCTGTGGGACCTGCTCTCCAGGCTGTCTGGCGGCCCTGTGCATATACATGCAAATGGCACCCCCTGCCTAACCATCCTCCTCTTGCTCTCTCCCAGCCCTTTGCAGACTAGAACTCTGCCAGCCTGCAGAGAGCTGTTTGCAAAAGTACAAAATCCATGTGTTTCTCTGTTGAAATGAAAAATCAACATTTTTCTCAGGTAAAGGGAATCTGCATTTTTTTTCCATCTTCCCATGGAAAATGGAAAACCCAGATCCCTGCTTATAAATGTAGAGAATGATTTGTTTTCATATTGGCTCTAGCTCTCTGTGAACATTTGCCCTCTATGTAAGCAGTTATTGTGTTGTGGTTCTTTTCCCAGATAATTGCTGAAGGTGCCAACGGACCTACAACCCCTGCAGCTGATAAAGTCTTCTTGGAGAGGAATATAATGGTCATTCCTGTAAGTTGTTTGTAAATGTTAATGAAAAATAACGTAAGCAAAATCATTCTTCTGGATCATAGGAGCAGCCATAAACAGGCTTTAATAAAAGAATAACTGCAAAAATAATTCTGAATATTTTCATGCAAAAGATATTTCTACAGTGTTCTCCTTTCTGTTCTTCTCATCTTTTTAAAAGGTATTGTAACTTCGCTTAAGATTTGCGAGGCTGCTATCCACAAAATCCAGATTTCATTACAACCCCATTACTTAAATATATCTATTGCATCGAACTAACAGTTTTCAAGAAGGAAATGATCTGTAAATATTTGTCAGAGATTTATAATTGCTCATCTTACATGACATTCTAGTATCCAGTCCAGTGAAATGAAGTAGGGAGGAGGAGTCTAAATTCAGCAGTCAAATTTTTCAGGCTCATTCGCCTAATTTTAGACATCAAAGATCACCTGATTGAAGTCAGTAGGAACTTTTGGGGCTCTGCATCTCTGAAAATCAGGTTGAGTTCAGCACCTGTATATGAAAATTGAGACTTAACTGTGTTAGTCTGAAGTCAAGTAGAAGGGAGGGTAGATTAACACTTTATAGAGTAACCAAAGTGTTTGTGTGTGGGGTGGGGGGTCCATCACAAGCTTTTGTAGGCTGAAACTCACTTCATCATATGCTGTGAGGATGTACATAAACCAGTGTATAAGTAAGAGAGAAATATTAGAATATGAAAGCAGAAGGGGGGCAGAGAAGAGGGTCTGGGGGGCAGTCCTGGGAGAGGCAAACAAGCAAACAATACATTTACAAAAAGAAACCAAGTAAAACTTATAATTCATGGGCAAATTCATGATTGAATTTCTGTACCGTCCATTACACTCAGCCATGCTTCCTATGTTTTGTACATTTTAATTTACATTTTAAGTTGACATTATGGTATCTTATGTTTATCATTCAAGAAGTTTATGTTTTTGTGCAGGATCTTTACTTAAATGCTGGTGGTGTAACAGTGTCCTACTTTGAGTGGCTGAAAAATTTGAACCATGTCAGTTATGGACGTTTGACTTTTAAGTATGAAAGGGATTCGAACTACCATTTGCTTAGTAAGTGTTATTTCACTAGCTCAACAGATACATTTACTTAGTAAGAAACTCTAATAAAGTAGGAAGTAAATTGTAGATGTGTTTGATGTCTTTCTTTGTGAAAGGCTGTTGTAGAAGCCAGATGTGAAAACAATCTACATTCAGTATAACTGTTCTTTCTGTTTGCTGGATGGTGGGGAAAATGTGAAGTGCACAGGAAATATATTAGTAATTCACTAATGAATCTGGTAATACTTGAAGAAAGAATGTAGAAACTTAGCAATGGCTTAACAAATAGATCCTAAGTGTTTTGTTAAAATGCCTTAAAAGCACCAAGGTTCCTTGGGTGAATTTGATATCTTTTATTAGACCAACCCAAATAGTTGGAGAATAGTTATTAAGCAAGCTTTCGGGTTCAAAAACCCTTCGTCAGGCTAAGGAAGTTTCAGCAGTCAGTGTGTGCTCTTCCTGGATGGAATAAAAAGTAAAGAAGCAATTCACTTCCAGTTTCATAAGAAGTAAAATACTCTTCATTTTAAAAAATTCCTTCAACTGTATATTAGGTATGACGAGGTGACAAGTTACAACTTGGAAGTGCACTTCTTTTGTCCCTGAGTAGCTATGTGCCCTTCTGCAAATACAGCCAAGTAGGATATCTGTAAAGTACATTAACATAACCTGATACAGGCATTCTTAAAATGTGGCTAGTAGCCCAAGAGCTCTACTGAGGGCCACTGTATTGGTTTTTTGGTTTCCTGACCTAAATGCTGATTATGTGAAAAGCATAAGCGTATTGGAGTAGAACTGTTCTATTTCACGCCAGGCTTAAATAAGACTTGTCAAAAAACACTAAGTAGCACTGAAGATTGCCTCAGTCTCTCAGGATAGAACAGAGTTGGTGATTAAGATAAGAACATTTTTAAACGCAACCTCTTTATGTTGCTTTGCTCCTTATTGGGGACCTACTAAAGTAGCTGAGAGTTTGTTTTTCTTCACACCCCCTTCTTGGCATTATTTGCAGTGGGCTAGGCAGAGTTGACTAGGAAACTGGTGATGTAAATGCAAAATTATGATGCTTTGTTTTATTTTTAGTAACCATATCCTGAAATATAGTATCTTTTATTTTACTTTTGTGAAGCAGCATGCACATGGTCTTTCCACGTACGAAATGCTGATTCAAAAAAGTATACCAGCAACTGAAAATTCACTTGCCATTGTTTCCTTTTCTTTTCCAGTGTCTGTTCAAGAAAGTTTAGAAAGAAAGTTTGGGAAACATGGAGGAACTATTCCAGTTGTGCCTACAGCAGAATTCCAAGATAGAATATCAGTAAGTGACTGCTTTGCAATGTTTTGACCGTTACTTCAGTTTGCAATCCAGTATTGTAATTGTAGATAAAATCTCTTCTGTTGGGCGGATGCGATTGCTATCAAGGGTTTGCCCAGTAACACGGCTAATTTTGTAATTGGTCTCTTTGTATATGACTTCATAATGTTTCACATTCCAATATTCTTTGAAAGCTGACATTTTAATGTGTACATAGAATTCACTTGGTGTTTGCACTGTTAATCGTTCAGCTGCTTCGTAGTACTAGTCGCTGTTCAGATTAGAGGTAGCAAGTTTAAATCCCAGGTGGTCTTTTTGCAATGACACCATATATAAGTGAAGATATTCAGCATGTTTTTGGGGTTGCCCATATTACTAATTCATTAGTGACCCAAAAAAAAAGATTACCACTTTATAAACTAACCAAAGGGGGGGGGTATGTCACAAGCTTTTGTAGGCTGAAACTCACTTTCTCACATGCTGCGAGGATGTACATAACCAGTGTATCAGTAAGAGAAAACTATTAGAATATGAAAGACAGAAAGGAGGTGCAGAGGAGGGTCTGTGGGGCAGTCCTGGGAGAGGCAAACAAGCATGCAATAAATCTAAAAAAAAAAAAGTTGAGTCAACTTGAAATTGCCATTTATGCCAAGTGAAAACCCAACTCAGTGGCAGGCCTGTATGAAGTGGCTAGTATTTGCTTTGGATTTGGCTGATTTGGGGGACAGTGATTCAATTTAGGACAGAGATTCGAATTACTGAATCGATTCAGCCAAATCTGATTTGAAGATTTAGCTGCTGCTGAATCTTCGACTCAAACAGCCCTCATCCCCTGCCTGCTCTCCTAGCCCCGTCAATGGCTGCCCTCCACCTGCAGCCCCAGCATCCTGGCACTTAAAAAAAAATTAAAAAAATAAAAAAATAAAAAGCCCGGCACTCTCCAGCTGCTTCCGGGCAGGGGGGGAGCCCCACTGCCCCATGCTGTGTGCCCTTGCCCTCTCTCCTAGCCCCAGCATTCTGGCTCTTTTTTTTTTTTTTTTAAACTCCCACTCACCAATTGCTGCCAGGTTGCAGGGGGGGCGATCTCCGCTGCCCTCTATGGCCCCATGCTACATGGGGGGCTCTACTACAAGCTCCCATCCCCCACCCGCTCTCCCAGCCCTGTCAGTGGCTGCTCTGCCCAGCCCCAGCCTCCTGGCTCTTCAGGGGGGAAAAAAGCCCAACACTCACCAGCTCCTGCCAGGTGGGTGGCAATCCCTGCTGCCCCCCACTACCCCGCACTGCGTGGGGGGCTCTGCTGTGAGCCCCCAGAAGCCCTGATGACCGCTGCAGCTGCTGGTGAGTGGGGGCTCTTTTTTTGTTTTAGAAACAGGAGCTGGGGCTGGGTGGGGCAGCCATGGGGGGGGGCACTGAGAGAGCAGGTGGGGGCTGGAGGGAGCTAAGGGAGCTGGGGGAGCAGGCAGGGGATGGGGCCTGGTGGGGGTCCCCCCCATGGTCGGTGTCCATCCTACCCCTCCCCACCCCTCCAACCCTCTACTTACTGGCACAGAGTCCAGGTCCAGCACTCTGCGGCAGCGAGTAGGGACTGCCTGAATCTACGAAGCTCTCTGAATCTTTTCTGAATCGATTCGGAGAGCTTCAAATTGATTCGGACCTTTTTATTGGTCTCCTGATTTGATTCAGAGATTTGGCCGCCAAATCGGGCTGAATCTCCGAATCGAATCAGCACCCGAAGCTTTGCACAGCCCTACTCAGTGGCTATAAATAGTATCCTCCCTTACTTAGCTAGATATATGACTATACATGTATGAATATTGCATTTAAATAAGGTTTTCTGGCATGAGGGGATGAAAAGATAATGTTCTCCCACTTAGTATAGACTTGAAGGCTGAGGAATTCTCCAAGGAAAGTGAAAATAATCTTTGAATTATCAGACTAGTTATCGATTCTTTATTACAAGGCCAAAGTGAACCATTGCAGCAGCCTTATGCTGCCTGCCTTCATAATAAGCCATTAGAGACTTACGCAGTAATTTCTGCATCTAATCTAGTCTATTTTTTCTATTTGAGAAATAACCTACCATTTGGAAAAAATATATAGTCTTCATTTAATAGCAAATTGGAGCTACCTTGTAAATAGGATATTGAAGATTGAGATTTACATTAACCATTGTAATTCAGGATTCCTGAATTTTGCATGATGAAATGACTTCATCCCTAGTTTTAAAAACATTGTTTGCATTTGTACAAATTCTGAATAATTTTATCTGCATCATTGATCAATTTGATCTACACCAGTGAAACAGACCAGAATATTTTTTATACTAGCAATACTTTTTAAAAAGTGCTTAGAGTAAGAAAGGTTCTAGAGCTTCAAGACATTCTTTTTAAATTCATATATTAAATTCAAATAGTATTTCTCCAATCCCCATTATTCTGTAGAAACCGAGAACAGAGTGCCAGTTTTGTAAACCTTGTTCATTGGAGGCATGACACACATTTTCCATTTTCATCAGAACTTTTCCACATTTCATACGTTGTAAGCTAGTGCACAAAGTGTTTGATAGTTCACCCAATGATTATTTAAACGCTGCATAAGTTAAGTGTCTCTTCTATAGGGCATTAGAAGAATTCTACATAAGAAGTCAACCAATTTCAGGAACCTAGCCATAGTAGATTGCATTTTGATGTACCAGAGGCAGTTAATCATTGTGTATTTCTTTCAGTTTGAGCTCTGATTTCATTCTCCCATTGCAGGGTGCATCTGAGAAAGACATTGTTCACTCTGGATTGGCCTACACCATGGAGCGTTCTGCCAGGGTAAGTACTGTACTGATAGGTGATCTACAGAAAGAGGAAGGAACCTTAACTGCCATAATAGCAAGATACTATTACAAACCATTGTGTACTAGCTTTACTTGGGCTTAGGTGTAGATGTCTCTTGACATAAACGGTGGTTACCATAGGTGGATTGATGGGAGTATGGACAAATTTTAGCCAAAAATTTTGGGTATTATAGAAGTTACTCGCTTGTCCTTTTTTGGTGGTCTAGAATAATCTGTTGCAGTAGAAGTATTTGCAAAATTGTGTTAATGTCATGTGTATGGGTAATAGATTTGCACCCCTTTTTTCCAATATTTTCAATTGAAGGGACATACTGCCCAAGGTCTGGAACAGCCTGTCACCGGAGGTGGTTCAAGCGCCTACATTGAATATCTTCAGGAGCAAACTGGATGCTTATCTTGCTGGCATCCTATCACCCCAGCTGACTTCCTGCCCTTTGGGCAGGGGGCTGGACTCGATGATCTTCCGAGGTCCCTTCCAGCCCTAATGTCTATGAAATCTATGAAATACCACTGGGACATCCTTGGTTTTTTGTGAAGTTCAGTCCCCATCCTCATTTGATGGGGTATGGTGTCTTAGACCTCAAAAAGGAGGCAACTTGAAATCTAGGGAAGACGGGCCTTAACAGCAGAGCTTTTAATCTAAATTCCTTGTCACCCCCGCCTTAAATAAAATCTTCTGAAGTGGTGTACATAGAAAGGCTTTTCAATAAATCTTATTTGACTTTTATTTTTTTTGTTCCATTTCACTTTAGCAAATCATGCGCACTGCCATGAAGTACAACCTGGGTCTGGACCTGAGAACAGCTGCTTACGTCAATGCAATTGAAAAAGTTTTCAGGGTGTACAATGAGGCTGGTCTGACCTTTACATAAATGGGTTATTACCTACCCTTTATTGATACCTTGTTCTCCTGCCGTTATGTACCCTCTTCTTGAAAAAGCTTATCACAAGTTTACATGTAACCATAACTGTTCCCCCTTTCCTCTGAAATTAGAGTGGATTCTCAATTAGTTTCAGTCCAATCTAGTTTTTAATAAAGAAAAATCCATGAATTAGGGTGTATACAAATATGTATCAAAAGATAACCACTTCATCTGCACTTGTGGGGGCCATTCTGGGTATTTCACCTTGAAAACAAAAAGGTACATTTAATGTACAGATTAGTGGTCTTGGTGCATGGGCCACCTATCACATCCTGTACTAGATGAGCAATTGGCTCACTACTACTTTGTGCACTTTTGTTTAATGATATAATTTTGGCTTTGGCACTTTTATAAGGCCTTATATAAATAATGCTGTGGCATTGTTTAAGGCAGAATAGGCCTCCTGCAGGGAGTAACTTTAATAGGAGTCTCTAATTTTTACTTGTAGCATAGCTTCAAACCTGTTTCTCTTTTGGCAATGTTTGTTTTCTTTTTTATAAACTGTGCTGCTCTTATAGGACTGCTTTCAATTGCTTGCTCAGCCTGAACTTGACTCAAGCACCATAATATAGAGATAAGTGACAGGAGCTGGTATTTTTATAAGCTGAAGTAGTATAATTGTGTGCGGACATCAGGCCAACTCTGTTCTGATAATGTTTTAATTAAGTCACTTTACCTAACCTTTCAGTTGCTAGGGGTTTTTTGAGAATTACTGAATATGATAAGTATAATCATAAACATGTAGTCCAAAGAACTTTAAACCTTTTCAAATTCTTTTCAGTGTTCTCATCTTGAGAGGCTTTCTAAACATTAGTTATATGGCCTCTGTGAACAACTTAAGTGGATTGTAACCCAGAAACAGGTGGCCCAACTACTACAAAAGAGCAAGACTGCTGCTATAAAGTTTAGCTGGTGTCTTAATACACCCTGACTTGTGATCTTCTTTTTCTCTTCATTTGGAGGTCTTGCATATTCTGAACACTCAAGTACAACTAAGTGAACCTTAAAACAGTATTGGATCAAACTTAGTTTTTTGAGGTTTTTGTCAAGGCCTTTGTCCAGTGGAGTCCCATCAAAGTGCCAGATGTTATTTATGTCATGAATATGAATGTTTTTTTTTAAAGAAACAAACTAGTCCCTTCCAGAAACTCATGCTTTTTTTCTAACTACTTTGTAACTGCATGACATAACGTGGTGAGAAGAGCAGTTATTAAAAAATTGACCTTTGCAAACCTACTATGCTGGTATGTTACTGTTTTCCAGAGTTATTTTACATGCTAATAGCTTTGCCTTGTAGCAGTTGCTAAAAAATTAAAGATGCTATTTCTTTTCAGTGATTCAAAGGGACTGATCAGAGTAGATTGAGTTTTATTAGTAGATGTTTAGGATTGTGAGTCCAAAAAAGATGACAAAGCCAGTAGGGAAATACAAATCGCCAAAGTGAGGGACTAACATTAGAGGGATGGGGGTGAGGAGCGGAGCACAACTAGGTTACAGAAAATACATGTTAGCCAACTAAGCCTGGGCGTGGGGGAAAGGAAAGGAGGGGGTTTGCGACGCTGAGAGAAAAAGAAGATGGATACACACAAACCCGTACAATGGTCCACAGTGGTGGAGGAAGTAGGTTGAAGAAGGTTTCATAGTTGGTAGGGTCAGAAGGGACCTGAGGAGATCATCTAGTCTGATCCCCTGCCGTGGCAGGAAAGAGTACTGGGGTCAAACGACCCCGGCCAGATGTTTGTCCAGCCTTTTTTTAAAGACCCCCAGGGTAGGAGCCAGCACCACTTCTTTTGGAAGTTGGTTCTAGGACCTAGCTGCCCTGACAGTGAAATAGCGCCTCCTAATGTCTAGTCTGAAACTGCCCTCCGCTTCCTTGTGTCCGTTGTTTCTTGTAACTCACGGGAGTGCTTGGGGGAACAGGGACTCTCCCAATGCCTGCTGGTCCCCCTTGACTAGTTTGTAGACTGTCACTAGATCCCCTCTTAGCCTTCTCTTTTGGAGGCTGAACAGGTTCAGGTCCCTCAGCCTCTCCTCGTAGGGCCTGCCCTGCTGCCCCCTGATCATGCGGGTGGGCCCTCCTTTGGACCCTCTCCATAGTTTCATAGTTTCAGGGTCGGAAGGGACCTAATAGATCTTCTAGCCCGACCCCCCGCCAGGGCGGGAGAACAACCCAAAAACAAACAAACAAACAAACAAACAAAACCACTCACCCTAAAAACAAAAACGGGACTCAAATGAGTCCAGCCAGGTAAGTATCCAGCCTCTTCTTAAAGATCCCCAGGGTAGGGGCCAGCACCACCTCCCTTGGAAGTTGGTTCCAGCTCCTAGCCGCCCTGACTGTGAAGTAGTTTTTTCGGATGTCCAATCTGTACCTCCTCTCCATCAACTTGTGCCCATTATTCCTTGTTATGCCAGCAGGGGCTAGGGGAAACAGCGTCTCCCCCAAACCCTTCTGGTTCCCCCTAGTGAGTTTATAGACGGTCACCAGGTCCCCCCTCAGCCTTCTCTTGTGGAGGCTGAATAGGTTCAAGTCCCGCAGTCTCTCACTGTAGGGTCTGCCCTGTTGTCCCCGGATCATGCGGGTGGCCCTCCTCTGGACCCTCTCCATGTTGTCCACATCCCTCCTGAAATGGGGCGCACAGAACTGGACACAATACTCCAGCTGCGGCCTGACCAGCGTCGCATAGAGGGGGAGGATCACCTCCCTGGCTCTACTCGAGATGCACCTGTGGATGCACGACAAGGTCCGGTTAGCCCTGCCAACCATGACCTCGCATTGTCGGCCCATGTTCATCTTGGAGTCAATAATGACACCAAGATCCCTTTCCGCCTCCGTGCTCTCAAGTAGGGAGCTCCCCATCGTATAAGTGTGCTGCTGGTTCCTACTACCCAAGTGCAGCACCCTGCACTTGTCCGTATTGAAACGCATCCTGTTCCTGTCTGCCCACCCCTGTAACCTATCCAGATCCTTCTGCAATCTCTCTCTCCCTGCTAGCGTGCTCACCTCCCCCCAAATTTTGGTGTCATCAGCGAATTTAAACAGGTTGCTCTCCACCCCAACATCAAGATCGCTGATGAAGAAATTGAACAGCGCAGGCCCCAGGACCGAGCCCTGGGGGACTCCACTACCCACCTCCCCCCAAGTCGAATATGATCCATCCACCACCACCCTCTGAGTGCGACCCTTCAGCCAATCTGCAATCCATCTGACCGTGTAGGCATCTATGCCACAGTCGCCTAGTTTATTAATTAGGATGGGGTGAGAGACGGTGTCAAAGGCCTTGCTGAAGTCCAGAAAGACTACATCCACCGCGACACCTGCATCCATGGCCTTTGTGACCTGATCATAAAAGGCAATCAGGTTGGTCTGACATGATCTCCCCCTAATAAATCCATGCTGATTGCCCCTGAGCATCATCTCGGATGCCGGCCCATCACAAATGTGCTCCTTGATGATCTTCTCAAAGAGCTTCCCCAGGATTGAGGTAAGACTGACGGGCCTATAATTGCCCGGGTCCTCCCTTTTCCCTTTTTTGAAGATGGGGACCACATTAGCTACCTTCCAATCGTCTGGCACCTGGCCCAAGCACCACGATCGCTCGTAGAGCCGTGCCAGGGGCCCTGCAATAACCCCAGCCAGCTCCCTCAGCACCCTGGGGTGGAGAGCATCCGGACCCGCTGACTTGAACGCGTCCAGCCCCTCCAGAAGCTCTCTAACCCGGTCCTCCCCAACCTGAGGTCTGAAGGCGATCCCCTCGCGTCCGGCTTCTATCACAGCAGGGAAGTCCCGGTCCCTGCACAAGAAAACGGAGGTGAAGAATTGGTTAAAGAGGTCCGCTTTATCCTCTGACGCAACCACCAGATTGCCCCGCATATCCTGCAGGGGCCCCACATTACCCGGCGCCTTCTTCATCCTCCCAATATATTTGAAAAAGGACTTTTTGTTATCCTTAATCCTGGACGCTAATCCGAGCTCTAGAGCTGTGCCAGAGGTCCCGCAATGACCCCTGCTAGTTCCTTCAGCACTCTGGGGTGTAGATCATCAGGACCTGCGGATTTAAATACATCTAGTCCCTCCAGAAGTTCCCTTACAAAGTCCTCATTAACCCTAGGCCTGGGTGTGCCACCCACAGGGCCCTCGGCGGGGCCAGTGGGGGAGATATCCAGGTCCCTCCTCAGAAATATGGAGGCAAAGAAATTGTGAATATGTCAGCTTCACCGTCAGGTGAGATGACCAGATTTCCTAGTGTGTCCTACAGAGGCCCCACATTACCTGGCACCTTCTTTTGCCCCACTATGTATTTGAAAAAGGACTTATTTTTGTCCTTGATCTGGGTCGCTAGTCCCAGCTCCATTTCCGCCTTGGCCTTCCCGACTGCCTCCCCTACGTGTCTCCGTCCATATAGAGTCTCATCGTGGGGGTCCTCTTTGGGTGGAGTGGGGTGGTCCGTTGCTGAAGATTCCTCTCAAAGTGAAGTCCATCAGGTGCAGAGGGGGATTCAGGCTGGGTCCGGTCTGGCGGTGATCCATCTGGTGGGGTCAGAGTATTGGCGGTGGCCCGTGATGTGCTCCATGTAGATGTTGCAGGACCAGCAGATCGTGTCAGACACCATGAGGTAGCACATCAGTTTGGCATAGCGGCGGGAGATGTGGCAGGCACACTGGACACCCTTGTTGCTGGGGTCCTAGGCTCCACGCGTCCCCACGATGAGCGCATCGACCATCATGTCGTAGCTGCGGCCCCTCAGGATGTCGTCCAACAGGGCATACTTCTGCTTGCGAGCCCGGGCGTTGGTGAAGGCTTGGTGCTGGTTCTTGAAGGGGATGGTCACGTCTACGATCATGACCTTCTTGGCCTCTTCGTTGGTGATCATGATGTCAGGGCATATCTGGCTCTCGCAGCCCGGGACAGTGCGGTTCACAGAGATCTCCCCCACTGCGGCCAGAATGGCCCTCACCAGGTGGTCCTAGACAGCGTTGTGGCAGAGCTGCTAGACTCTGGTGTGTGGCCTGCAGCTGCAAAGCACATGGGGGAGGGTCTCTACCACGTAGCCGCATCGTCGGTACCTCTTGTCCTGGTGTCCAAAGCGGACAGCCCTGTTCAGAGGCAGGCAGTTGAGGCAGGTGCGGTGGAGGATTTGCAAGTCCACGAAGCTCGCGAAGCTCCCACTGGGTTGCTGGAGTCCCACTTCGAGGTGATGTCAAAGACCTTGCCCTGGTTGGGTTTGGCCCTCAGGTCGCTGGTGTACTTGTTTTGGACGGCGTCCTTCAGGAACCGCTCCAGAAGGTCCTCATGCTGGGCATCACAGTGACGCGGTTGGCGTGCGGGGCTGGTTGCAGGGAGACTCCCAGCGCTCTTCGGTCCAGGTCCAGGCACAGCCAATGCGCTTCCCAAGGTGGTACATGGCGATGCGGGCTTGACGAGGCAAAGTCCCCGCCGTCTCTGCCAAACTCGCCCTCCAGTGAGCTGTTGAGGAAGGTGGCCAAGTCGCGTCTGGTCGGCTGTCTCGGGATCCTCTTGCGGGTGGTCTCGGGCACTGGTGGTGATGATACTTACCATGAGGTCTGGGCAGGTCAGGAGGCAGAAGGCATGGGTGACCACCACAATGTCTCAGAGGTCTCCTTTGCAGGGGAAGTTGGCATGTCCATGCTGATAGGGGATGTGTAGGATCTCGTTTCTGGCCCTCAGCGGCAGGTGCAGCCACTTCTTCAGCAGCTGCTGGATCTCAGCGTCCACCTTGTTGAGGGGGGTCTTGAGGACCGCCAAGCCTCTGAGGATGAACGTGGTTCAGGGGATGAGGAAGGTGTTCACCGCATCTATCTTCTGCCAGGGGGCCAGCAGGGACAAGTCCAGCTTGCAGGCGTCCTGCACGATCCTGTTGATGGTCTCTTCCGACGTCTGCTTGGCCTGTTGGCCAGTGGGCACCCCCAGGTAGCAGTAGGCCTTGCCATCGCATAGGTGCCTCATTGCCTGGCCCTGAATCATGAGGGTGGAGTCCTGGACATGGCTCTTCTGCCTGCTGTTGATGTGCAGGGAGGCGCACTTGGCGACGTTGAAACACATGCCCATCCATCTGGCCGCCTCAGATGTCACGTCCAGCATCTGCTGCAGCTGGTAGCGTCGGGGGCGAGGAGAACAAGGTCATCGGCATAGGCCAGGACACTCAACTTCTGGCCGTACAGGTCAAGCCTGCCGGGGCTGCCTGCCACAGCTTGAAGGAACAGTTCCATGTACAC